GGAGAAAAGGTGGTTGAAAACCCTTTGTCCAGGGTGGGACACACACACACACACACACACACACGTGTCGCCGAGATCACCCGAGGTCATAAACTCCAAACGTCTCTTCTCCGTGGGCGATGGAACTGCAAAAAAGGTCGTCCACATGTTGGCTCTTGCACAAGGTCGTCCATGATCGCTGCGCTGCGCTGAATGGGCAGACGCGGTGGCATCGCGTGCAACGTCGACGCATCAACGTCGACGCGTTTGACGCTATATTCTTCACATCCTTGACACGATTTTGTGTCCGGAACAACAGCGGAGCAAATCACAAGCGGATAAATAACATGGAGTTGTCCTATAAATATCAAATGAATGATCTACAATAAGTCATTATAAGTTATCATGTACATCTATTTACCATTACAGTAACCCTTTACACGTCTAATTGCATCCAATGTGTCCCGGACATCACATGTGTACCGCACAACCGCTCGGCCCCCGACGGCCGAAGTCGGAGAGGCGGGATCGATCTGGTTCATGCCTTGGACGACGTGGGTGAAGGCTTTGCTTGGTGACCAAGCGGAAGGTCGGTTTGCAGGGTGAAGGTTCAGTGTGGAAAGGTATCAACAACTTGGTTAGGAAGGGTCCCGGGTGATATAGGCAGCCATGCAGAACTGCTGCTGGATGCAAGGACATGCAAGGACCCAGCCAGATAAATAAGGACACCGATCCATTTGGTTGTGCCAGAAACAATTCTGAGATATTCTGAGTATAAGCATCTCAAGAACCTGCTTCAATTTGTGAGTTGTTGTTTTGGGAAGCTCCATCTTGAAATATGCCTGGATGTGAACTCGTGCAGCATGAATGACTTGGCCAAAAGACAGTCAGTCAACGGGTGTGATTTCACTCATTTCAAACCAGCAGCTTTTCATGCGAACTCGGCTTCCAGTCTTTTGTCTTACAGCCTCATTCAGCTTGGCTGAAGTGGCTGTCTGCTTCTGACACTTTCGACGATTCCGTCCATGTATCTTTTCACCACGGACCTCGTCTGCGTACGAGCAAAGGGACAGAATTGCCATCTGACTGAGAAAGAACGCTGATGCACCCCACATCACCACAAGGCTAGATGGACCAAAAATCCAGTATGTACTGGGTATTGTTCTTCGGCGGTAGAATACACCAGTATACACACCAGTATACACACCAGTATACACACCAGTATACAC